TAAGCCCACATACCAAAATGCTATTTCAAGATCTGAAACTCATTGATTTTTCATTTATTATTAGATTCGATTCATAATAATGTCAAATTTGTTATATACGAAAACGATAAAAACAGTTTGACAGAAAAGTGACAACTTTACGTGTCAAAAATATAAAAAGTGATATTTTATTCATCATTATCTTCTTCATAATTTATTTCATATTCTTCGTCTTACCAACAAAAGATGGGAATGTGAACAATTGCGGGCAATTTTTAGCCATTTTGGCTTGGAACTAGAGCCTGCGAGGTACATGGATAGTATCAGTACCTCACAGGCTCTAGTTCTCTATATGGCGCCGAGAAATTTTGGTGAAATGTGGTCGCATTTCACCAAAATTTTTTCGGCGCCATAGGATGAATTGGAGGGTGAGAGATATTATTTCATACAATACTACTCTCACCCTCCAATTCCCAGCCAAAATGGCTAAAAATTGCCCGCAATGTGAACAATTGCGGGCAATTTTTAGCCATTTTGGCTTGGAACTAGAGCCTGCGAGGTACATGGATAGTATCAGTACCTCACAGGCTTAGTTCTATATGGCGCCGAGAAATTTTGGTGAAATGTGGTCGCATTTCACCAAAATTTTTTCGGCGCCATAGGATGAATTGGAGGGTGAGAGATATTATTTCATACAATACTACTCTCACCCTCCAATTCCCAGCCAAAATGGCTAAAAATTGCCCGCAATTGTTCACATTGCGGGCAATTTTTTAGCCATTTTTGGCTTGGAACTAGAGCCTGCGAGGTACATGGATAGTATCAGTACCTCACAGGCTCTAGTTCTCTATATGGCGCCGAGAAATTTTGGTGAAATGTGGTCGCATTTCACCAAAATTTTTTCGGCGCCATAGGATGAATTGGAGGGTGAGAGATATTATTTCATACAATACTACTCTCACCTCCAATTCCCAGCCAAAATGGCTAAAAATTGCCCGCAATGTGAACAATTGCGGGCAATTTTTAGCCATTTTGGCTTGGAACTAGAGCCTGCGAGGTACATGGATAGTATCAGTACCTCACAGGCTCTAGTTCTCTATATGGCGCCGAGAAATTTTGGTGAGAATGTGGTCGCATTTCACCAAAATTTTTTCGGCGCCATAGGATGAATTGGAGGGTGAGAGATATTATTTCATACAATACTACTCACCCTCCAATTCCAAGCCAAAATGGCTAAAAATTGCCCGCAATGTGAACAATTGCGGGCAATTTTTAGCCATTTTAAGCCTGCGAGGTACATGGATAGTATCAGTACCTCACAGGCTCTAGTTCTCTATATGGGCGAGAAATTTTGGTGAAATGTGGTCGCATTTCACCAAAATTTTTTCGGCGCCATAGGATGAATTGGAGGGTGAGAGATATTATTTCATACAATACTACTCTCACCCTCCAATTCCAAGCCAAAATGGCTAAAAATTGCCCGCAATTGTGAACAATTGCGGCAATTTTTAGCCATTTTGGCTTGGAACTAGAGCCTGCGAGGTACATGGATAGTATCAGTACCTCACAGGCTCTAGTTCTCTATATGGCGCCGAGAAATTTTGGTGAAATGTGGTCGCATTTCACCAAAATTTTTTCGGCGCCATAGGATGAATTGGAGGGTGAGAGATATTATTTCATACAATACTACTCTCACCCTCAATTTTAATTACTTAAACTCATTCTATTTTTTTGACATGTAAATGTCACTTTTACTGAGATCTGACACAATGTCAGATCTCTTTTTTTCGTATATAAGAAATTAACTCTTAAAAATGAAATGCCGAACGGTATTTGAATCTAATAATCGTGTGTTGGCTAATTTGACATTTAGTACCATTTCGCGTTTAGTAAATTATGAATTGTTACTGTAATTTTCGCAAAAATAACGGTACTCTTTCCAAATTCTGGAAAAACAAATATATTCGTCGTTATAACTTAACAAACGCGCTAAACACAACATTTACTAATCAATAATAACTATCAATAATTATACTAGTTCAATAAAAGCTCTTTTCTCATTATATTGGAGTGGCAGTAGCTAATTGTTGAAATGGCATTAAATATGTTGGAAAAGAAGTTCCATGTGGAAGTAATGGGTCCATATCTCTTATGGAAGGAATTTTTGATATTGCAGAATCGGAATCTGAGGATGCTTCATTCCATGAACGAGATTTCTGATCATCTGATTGCGAAATCGTTTTTGTTGGTGACCCACATTGATTATAAGTTGACACTTTTGAAACTTGACTATTCAAGCAAAAAGAGGAGTTTCGATTGTTATTAAACCAAAGTCTAACAGAACGATGAGTCCAGTGTCCCGAAATTGGATTTAAGATTGAAGCAACTTCTTCTGCAATCTTATTTCGATCAGGAGATCTTTCTGGAAAAGAGAAATACTTTCCCATGTGTTGAATTAAGATGAATTGTTCAACAGTGGTTGGGAAATATCTCCTACAGCTCATACTCGATTCATCATGTGACTTCATTTTCCGCTTCGCTTAATTTAATAAAAAATGTTTTGTACATTCAAAATTTGATAAGAAACTAAATTTGTAGATTATTGAAAACAATTATTAGTAATTTCTATTATCCAAATATGAAGAAAAAGGAAAAAAGCATATTAACGTATCAGAAAAAAAATATCAGAATTATTTATTTGGACCGCAGAAATTTATTATTTTGCTACTACATATTAAACAAATGCAATTGTATCTGTAAGATTTTTGTTTGATAATATATGTCAATTTGAATTATTTTCAATAAGTATAGAATTTTTTGTTGTTTACTATTTCATCTGAAGTTTGAATAATTTATATTTCTCTATGAAAATGACTTTAAGAACTAAAATAATTCAATTCAGAACATGAATTTATTTGAATTTATCGTTATGTGTCAAATTTAATGAATTCAATTGGTTAGATTTTTTACGTCAGACAAAATATTTATTTTATATATTACTTCCTTGTATTTTAATAATTTCGATAAGAATTTTCTTCAACGATAATTAACGAATTCAATATATTCTTTAAAATTGTCTACCTGTATATTATATACTCGAGTTTTTCTTCTTAATTTTACAAATTTCCTTAATTCAGAGAAAAGTGACATTTATTGTTGAAAATGTATGGTAAATATTAGGGAAAACCGCAACCACTTTTTTAATCACGATTTAAATATATAAATCGCGTTATTGGTTCAATCTAAAGATCATTATTTAAAAAGTGAACTAAAAAATATAAATATAAAAATAAAATAAAAATTGTAATAAGAATGTTATAAAAAGTTTTTTAGATTTGAGTTGCCGATAGGCTTGAGCAAATGTATTTTTATTGCTAAAGGTTTTTTTGTTAGATTTATGTAATATTTTTTTTAGTTAAAGGTAAATTATGATTAATTAGTGCAGTAAAGTAAGACTTCAAGAATTTTGACCAGTAAAGTGGGATTGAGGTATTTGTTATCGAGATTGTTTGATTTTAGATCTCTGATTTCGGCAAGTATGCAGAAAAACCATATTGTGAGCAGTCTAAAATGGATAAACAGCCATTCTAGATTCAAAAAATCTTTGTGAATTGCTTTGTTATTGAGAAGTAATACAACCGAATCCCAAAACTATTTTTTAAAAAAAATTAATCGTATTATCAGAAAAAGTTCATATCGTTTTGTAATTATCAGAAAAGTATATCATTAAAACTGTAATAAACAGAAATTCATCAAAAGTGACGGCTCTCAATTTTTTGACATTTGTAAATTCTAAATTGAATGAGAAAAATGAAATAATACTAAGCATAATACAATATTCTAGATTTAATTATAATTAGGAAAAAGTTAGTTTTGAGAGTACTTTTCATAGGCATATAGAATGAAATCTTCTGAAAAATAATATCACATAAACTCATATTATTTTCTAATATATAACTATTTTATATAAAAATCAAATTCAATGATCTTAAAAGCGAAGGATAAACCTCAAAATTTACGATATAATGAGTGGGAATATTTCATAAGGTTTTATGATAGATAAGCATTATATTCCCACTCATTATATTCGTAAATTTTGAGGTTTATCCTTCGCTTTTAAGATCATTGAATTTGATTTTTATATAAAATAGTTATATATTAGAAAATAATATGAGTTTATGTGATATTATTTTTCAGAAGATTTTGTGTTCTTCAAAATTTTATTTTGAATCTTTACAAAATATACATTTACTTAAATTAATATTTAAAAACGTGCTCTATCAAAAGTTCCAAAAATTCAATATTTTAGCTTTTCTGAGGTGTCACTTTTGATGAATTTCTGTTTACAACAAAACTTTAAAATCGTATAATAAAGTTAACAACAATTCTGTTTAGTAGCAAATATAATTCTGAAAGCATTCAAAAAAAAATACACTAAAAAGTCAGTTGCAAATTTACTTAATTTGATTATAAATAATGAAACACTGTATGATATCCTAGTAATAAAAAATAATTTTAGGAATGAGTATTTTTTTTATTTTTTTTAAAATGGTATTTTCAACTAGTATCCATCAAATACTATTTGCACTAATCTACTAATATTATATGTGCGAAAATAAGATAAGTTATTAGATAATAATAAACATTACAGGCGAAAAAATCTTTTTTTAAGCCTGAAGACGCCTTGGATTTATTAATAAATCGATTTTATATATTTTTGCTGTATTTGGAAGATAATCTGTATCATACTCCATATAATTTTAATTGTTTGCAAAATCTTATTATCAATACAAGAATTATAATAATTTTTTTTTCTTGTCGAAATTCTATTCAATGCTTCATAAATGGCCGAACATCTTTGTGCTTTTAAAAATTGAATATAGTATCAATTTTATAAAATAAATAAAATTTTTGAAATCAACAATTATCACTTCATTAATGTCCAATCGGCAAAGAACAACATCCAGTACTCGAAGTTCGCAAGCATCAGGAACTCGAAACTCGCAAACACCAAGAAGTTCTCAAGCATCTGTACAAAACCCTGCTCCAACACAAACTTCTACAGCAACTGTGCCCCGTTCAAGATCAGAAAGGGAACCAGCTGCACCAGTACAAAACCCTCCTCCAACACAAACTTCTACAGCAACTGTGCGCCATTCACGATCAGAAAGGGAACCTGCTGCAAAAGAGCAAATTCCTCCTCCAGCACAAGAAAACGTGACAGTGGTTAATCCCATTCAAATTGCGACTTCATCTGAAATTCAGAAAATGAAATCGATCCAACAGATCCAATTTCATTTTTTACCCAAAGAGAAGCAGAATATATGGAATCATTTGTTGATGTTCCTGTAAATGATGTACCAGAGCCAAAGATCAAAGAACCACTAAAAATTAGGATCGAAGAAATTTTAAGGGAGCAACAAAATAATCGTCTCACAAAATTGACAAATTTGACATGCAAAGATTTTAGAGATTTATTACATCTTTATTTTAATACTCTTGAACACAATCATTATAAACACACTAGAGTATCATTGGAATCGAGATTGCTAATAACATTAACTTGGTTGAAACATTCTGGTTCATTTAAAGAATTAGGAGCACAATTTGGAATCAAAAAAAAAACGCATACAAGAGCTATAGTAATGGATATCATAAATAAAATTGGTTTAAAAATTGGTGAGGACTTTGTCAAATGGAGACCCTATATTCGGTGGGACGAAAGTGAAAAATCTACCGAATATCCCGGTATGCTTGGAGCTTTGGACGCTACAGTACAAGAAATTGGAAGAGCAAAAGATCAAAATTTATATTACTCTGGAAAACATAAAATGTGTTGTGTCAAAGTTCAATGTTTTGTCAGTCCCAAAGGAATATTACTTTGTAATAAACAGAAATTCATCAAAAGTGACGGCTCTCAATTTTTTGACATTTGTAAATTCTAAATTGAATGAGAAAAATGAAATAATACTAAGCATAATACAATATTCTAGATTTAATTATAATTAGGAAAAAGTTAGTTTTGAGAGTACTTTTCATAGGCATATAGAATGAAATCTTCTGAAAAATAATATCACATAAACTCATATTATTTCTAATATATAACTATTTTATATAAAAATCAAATTCAATGATCTTAAAAGCGAAGGATAAACCTCAAAATTTACGAATATAATGCTTATCTATCATAAAACCATATGAAATATCAATTTTTGCTTTACGCCTAATTTTTGACGACAATTAGCAAAAAATGTTAAATGTTAACACTCAGTCCATTTGAATATGAAAAATAAAATTGACTTTGATTAAATGTTTTTATTTATCATGCAATTCTTCTTGCGACCAAAGATTTGAATAAAATTTCAAAAAATAAGATAGCTTAAAAAATAATATACGGTAGTGTTTACTAATAGATGAATAGTATATAAATTCTATTAAAATGGATTTGATCCAAAAAAATATATAAAATTTGATCATAAATAAAATCGTTTTAAATTACTTCTTCATTTAAATTATAACAATTATTTTTGGTTTTATATTTTTTGGATCAAATCCATTTTAATAGAATTTATATACTATTCATCTATTAGTAAACACTACCGTATATTATTTTTTAAGCTATCTTATTTTTTGAAATTTTATTCAAATCTTTGGTCGCAAGAAGAATTGCATGATAAATAAAAACATTTAATCAAAGTCAATTTTATTTTTCATATTCAAATGGACTGAGTGTTAACATTTAACATTTTTTGCTAATTGTCGTCAAAAATTAGGCGTAAAGCAAAAATTGATATTTCATATGGTTTTATGATAGATAAGCATTATATTCGTAAATTTTGAGGTTTATCCTTCGCTTTTAAGATCATTGAATTTGATTTTTATATAAAATAGTTATATATTAGAAAATAATATGAGTTTATGTGATATTATTTTTCAGAAGATTTCATTCTATATGCCTATGAAAAGTACTCTCAAAACTAACTTTTTCCTAATTATAATTAAATCTAGAATATTGTATTATGCTTAGTATTATTTCATTTTTCTCATTCAATTTAGAATTTACAAATGTCAAAAAATTGAGAGCTGTCACTTTTGATGAATTTCTGTTTATTACAATTCTTCTTGCGACCAAAGATTTGAATAAAATTTCAAAAAATAAGATAGCTTAAAAAATAATATACGGTAGTGTTTACTAATAGATGAATAGTATATAAATTCTATTAAAATGGATTTGATCCAAAAAAAATATATAAAATTTGATCATAAATAAAATCGTTTTAAATTACTTCTTCATTTAAATTATAACAATTATTTTTGGTTTTATATTTTTTTGGATCAAATCCATTTTAATAGAATTTATATACTATTCATCTATTAGTAAACACTACCGTATATTATTTTTTAAGCACTTAAAGATATGAGCTCTCAATTTTCGACCCCCAATATACGTTTATTTTAGTTTCGGCATATTAACATGAAGCACGAGCCAAACCCTTAAAAACGTGTCCTCTAGTTTTGCCAACTCTTTCATATATTGTAACTATTTTCAGGAAAAAACGCAAATTCAAAATTAAAAATTTACATTTAATCGAGTATAGTATTAAATTACTATCTTTCGTACACGGACCAAGCAACAACTCAAGGTGCATGCTCATTACAGACAAAATCCCCTCTAGTGCACTTAAATTGGGTGAGTTAGCACCAAACAAGCCATAAGTTAAAGATCTGAACTTGCTCCAGACAATGTATCACTTTAGTTATGAATGCACCAGAAATCCGTCCCAAACTCATACATTTCTACGCTAATCACGATAATAAATATACTATTTTGTACTTTTTACAATAAATCTCTCTTTGTTACACTACAAAATCAATGTGCATTTCGTTGCACCAGTTTTGAATCTTGTTAAATAATGATTTTTGTTACTTTCATGATACAGTCCCATTTAGTAAACGGATTACTTACAAAATAAAAATAAAAAATATATTTTTTATTTACGATTTTTTATATTTGGATTTTTAAGGCATAATTTAGAAAATATTAATAATTTAATCGATTTGATATTAAGAAAGACATTTAAAATTCATAAAAGATCCAAATAATTTCATATCCAAAGTTATTAATATTTGAAGATTTGAGGAAAGAAAAGGAGAAATATTGCATATGAAATGTTTTCAAAAAATACATCAGAAATTGTAAAAGAATTTTAATAATTAATAAGATTTGGATGGAGTTAAAATTTGTGATGAAACCACCCGATGCTAACTCACGCCACACATAGACAGAAGCATTCTATCACGCAACCACCCGATGCTAACTCACGCCACACATAGACAGAAGCATTCTATCACGCAACCACCCGATGCTAACTCACGCCACACATAGACAGAAGCATTCTATCACGCAACCACCCGATGCTAACTCACGCCACACATAGACAGAAGCATTCTATCACGCAACCACCCGATGCTAACTCACGCCACACATAGACAGAAGCATTCTATCACGAATCCACCCAATTTGACATTAATTTTTATTAATATATTTTTCATTACTATATGCAACCACTCAATTTGACATTAATATTCATAAATATATTTATCAAACTTATATGCACCCAACGAATTTTCAAATTCCTATCAACCACTTCTTTATTTTTATATTTTACAATTCTTTTATATACAAATTTAATACAAAGTTTTTATTCACTCATCATCTCTACTTCTTTATTATCTTCAATCTCATTCTAGCAGTTCTCGCATCTTTTACTTCCTTCATTAATTCAGGCAAGTATTTTTCCAACCAAATTTCTGCTTTATTTTGTAATGCAGATTCATAATTTTTTGATTGTTTTTCCAGAGAATTGATTAAATCTTTGGCATCTTGGAACGTTTCAAGATTATAAAGCAGTTTTACGACTAAAACTGCTTTATTTTTATCGTCAATATCAATAAATTCTGCGTATTTTGATATTTCGATCGGCGAACTCTTTTCTTTGTGATCCACGAGTTCATCCTGATCACCTACATTTTTATCGATTGGGAATTCTATGATTTCACCTACGTTTTCTCCTATTTTCATAACATGTATGCCTGCAGAGGGAACATGACTCTTATTCATAAAGAAATCCTTGCAATATTTACAAGGATTCTTATCAGTATTAATATCATTATAGGAGAATCCGCAATGTATGCATTTTTCGTTTAACAAGTCATTCTTCTCGCGTTTTTGCTTATTAATGGGATCAATTGATTCATTAATCCTAATGATAGTATCATTCAGAATGAATTTGATGAAAGTAGAAAAGTTTCTTGCTTTTTTTGCAAGTTCGTTAATGTGTCTATGCTTACCCTCTGCACTATTATTGTTATATACGAAAACGATAAAAACGGTTTGACAGAAAAGTGACAACTTTACGTGTCAAAAATATAAAAAGTGATATTTTATTCATCATTATCTTCTTCATAATTTATTTCATATTCTTCGTCTTACCAACAAAAGATGGGAATGTGAACAATTGCGGGCAATTTTTAGCCATTTTGGCTTGGAACTAGAGCCTGCGAGGTACATGGATAGTATCAGTACCTCACAGGCTCTAGTTCTCTATATGGCGCCGAGAAATTTTGGTGAAATGTGGTCGCATTTCACCAAAATTTTTTCGGCGCCATAGGATGAATTGGAGGGTGAGAGATATTATTTCATACAATACTACTCTCACCCTCCAATTCCCAGCCAAAATGGCTAAAAATTGCCCGCAATTGTTCACATTGCGGGCAATTTTTAGCCATTTTGGCTTGGAACTAGAGCCTGCGAGGTACATGGATAGTATCAGTACCTCACAGGCTCTAGTTCTCTATATGGCGCCGAGAAATTTTGGTGAAATGTGGTCGCATTTCACCAAAATTTTTCGGCGCCATAGGATGAATTGGAGGGTGAGAGATATTATTTCATACAATACTACTCTCACCCTCCAATTCCCAGCCAAAATGGCTAAAAATTGCCCGCAATGTGAACAATTGCGGGCAATTTTTAGCCATTTTGGCTTGGAACTAGAGCCTGCGAGGTACATGGATAGTATCAGTACCTCACAGGCTCTAGTTCTCTATATGGCGCCGAGAAATTTTGGTGAAATGTGGTCGCATTCACCAAAATTTTTTCGGCGCCATAGGATGAATTGGAGGGTGAGAGATATTATTTCATACAATACTACTCTCACCCTCCAATTCCCAGCCAAAA